TTGTGTTGCCTGCGCCACGTTGGTTTAATCTCTCTCATGTCTTTTATGCGTATGCAGCTGGTGATATAAATTTCCACTCAAAACGGCGCCTCTGAGGGAGTGGCCAAAAAGGGGATGATGAGAAGGCGGAGATTTACGGCTGCTGCTGCTGCTGCTGCTGCTGCAACAACAACACATAATTCCGTTGTGGGTAGAGAGAAGCAAACGAAGAGAGAGAATAGAGCGCATACATGTGACTTTGTGTGTGTTTGGGTGTTTGTGAAGAAGAGAATGTTATGAAATTGTAATAAGTGGGTCTCGTGTAAACCGAAAAGAAAAAAAAAAATAATCAAACATTAAGGCAAATTGACTGTGTACGTGTGTGCGCATCGCGAATTTTAATTGACAAGGCGGGAAATGAGGCGAAAGAAAAAAAAAAGGGAAGGAAACATTCACCCAGACACGTACATGATTGCATACATGTGTGCAAACAGGTATCGGTGTGTACTTATGTATGCGAAGTTTGGTAGGAATACGGCGTGTGTATTTGTCTGCGCCGTCCTGTTTTGTTGTTGCTTGTGTTTGCCTTGTGATCTTCAAAATAAAGCAGCAGGAAGAGAGCGGAGATCCAAGTTGACATGACGCGCCGCTTGTGCTTTTTCTTGTTGACCATTGTTCTTATTCTTATTCTTATTTTTTTTTTAGCATTGCTAGTGAGTGCTGCCGCCGCTGTTGTCCTTGTTGTCACCACCGTCACGCAGAAGTGTTTTTTTTTTACAGCAATGGGCCGCGAGAGCATGCTTCACAACATTAACCGCACCCTGCGGATTGTGCTAATTGATGGCAGGGAACTGACGGGTAAACTTCTCGTCTACGATCGCCACATGAACGTTGTGTTGGGTGACGCCACGGAGAGTCGTGAGGAGACGAAGAAGATGAAGGAGGCAGGCATTAGTCCACAGCGCAGCCTAGGGCTTGTGTTGCTTCGCGGCGTACATGTTATCTCCGTCAATGTGCTCGGTGCCAGCGAGAACAATGGGGACGGGGAGGGGAAGACGAAGGGGCAGCCGGCGAACTTCGAGAAGGCGCCACGGGCGAAGGTGGCCGGAGCGAAGCGGAAGCGCTAAAATGAGGAGGCACACACGACTCCGTGAAGTGGGAGACAAAAAAAAGGGCGAGAGAAAAAAAGAAGGAAATGAAAAGGAAAAGGAAAAAAAAAAAAAGGAACAAGAAGAAGCGTCAATCAAAGAAATCCGGTTTGTTTATTTGTGAGAGAAAAGCGTGGACTCTGAGCAGACATGCGTTCTTCCTGTCTGTGCATGTAAAGGGTCTGTGTCTGTTGGGCATGCCGTCTGAATGGGAGGTGAGTGTGTGACCTGCAAGCGTGCGACGAGGAGGCATCAGGAGGGGGTGAAGACGTCTTAAGAAACTCAAAGAACTGAAGGGAAAGAGATAAGAGAGGAGCGATAGAGAGAGAGTGGGAGAAGGCCACACAGCACAACACCCACGCATGGAGGGTGGGCAGGTGGTCACGACACCCTTTTCTTTCTTTTTCTTTTCATTTTCTTTTTGTTAAATGTCTACTCACTTCGCCGATGGGAAGTAACAGAGGAGCGCTACCCCGCACCTGCATGCATGAAGGCAAACAAACAATCAGCGACGGGTAAGTAAAACTACTGCTCTTTCGTTTAATCCTTTTGTCCTCTCCACGGAGGCCACGATTTCGTTTATTTTTTACGGGCTGACCCTTTTTTTTTCCTTAAAATATATATTTACACAGAGAAGCACACACACACACACACACACACACATACACATACACATACACATAGACACACAAAGGAAAAAAAAAAAGAAGAGGGTGAGGCTGAGTGACTCAAAGAAGCCCTGCTCACCGGAAGAGAAGAGAAGAGATAAACAGAGAACTGGATAATACGTAGATTGCAAAGAGTGACGGAGGGAGATGCCGCCCAAGTTTGGTCGGCGGGCGGGGGAGGGGCAAAGCAAGAAAGACGGCAGTGTTGATTCTGCGACCCCACAAGAAACGAATGCCGCTGCATTTGATAGCAAGCGATATTTGGACGTGGTGGTGCACAAGGATGACCTTCGTAGCCTTGAGGACGGTGTGGACGAGCAGACACGTGAACAAGCCGCTAAAAAGGCGGCAGAGGAAAAAGAGAAGCTTGTCAAACGTGTTGCCGAAGCCCCTGTTGGTTACGTCGCTACCATGCCGAAACTTGCTGAATTAGACCTATCAAATGTGTGGAGCGATTTTCTGAGTGCCGTTCACCACGAATTGGACATCTCCGCACTCACCGCCAGCCTCTCGCAGCAGCTAGATGACGAGGATGTGGCATGGAACCCGGACATGCTGCTTGTGCAGCTGACATCTGACATGTTGGATGCCGCCGAAGTCGGCGAAAGTGGATTGCCCGCTCCTGATCCTGCGGCACTGGAGGCTGTGGGTAAGGCACGAAGGCGGCGCAACGAGCTGCTGGAGAATGCGGACGAGATGCAGGTGACAACGCGGGACCGTCGACGCCGACCGGGCGGTGAGGGAGAAGAACAGGCAGCGTCAGAAAGCCCTGAATCCCACCAGAAGCCTGAGGAGTCGAGCAGTCGCAAATCCTCCGAAACAAAAAAGAAGAGTCGTGAGCGGTCGCCGGGAAAAGGGGGCCACCCCGGGGCAAGGGCTGCACAGCCACCGGAAAGTCCAACAGCCTCTCCGGCAAATCCCGCATCACGGAAAAAGTGATGTACCCCACCGGAGAAGCCAGAAGTAGGGCAGTTAAGGCCAATGCGAAGGAACATGCCACTCGATCAAATTGAGAAGCAACGGAGCAGGAGTGAATTGCTGGCCGCCACGACGGCGAAGAAGTGGTGGCAACTGAAGCACATATTTACATATATATGACGTATGCACGCGTTGAATTTATGTCTGTCTCGCTTCCTTTCTCTTTTTCTCTCTTTGTTTATTTGTGTATGTTTGCGTGGAAATGCGGTGACACACGGGTGATGTCGTGGGAGTTATGTGGAAAACAACAACAACAAGGTGATTTTGCAAAAGAAAAAAACGAATGGAAGTGCATATGCTCACTAGCTGCATTTGTTTAGTCACGTTGTATTCTGCAAATCTAAACATCTCTCTTATTATTATTATTATTATTATTTTTCTAATGTTGTTTTGGATTTCTTTTCATGTAAGGGATTTTTTTTTTTTTTTTTTTTTAGCCACCACCGGAGAGGGGTGACAAAGTCGGCAGGGATATTTTGCATAGAAGGAGAGAGAGAGAGAGAAAGAGCGTGTGTCTCTTTTTATACCCTCCTGCGTGCATACTTGTCTCTCTGGGAAGTGCTTGTCACTCCAGCATCCACAGACACACACAGACACACTTCCCCTTCCGTGAAGAAGGGGAAATAATAGAATCAAAGGAGAAAAAGGAAGAGGAAGCTACAAAAGGACAACAACAGCAACAAAGCAAACAAAAATAAAAGTTATTTTGTTGGCTAACTGAAATGAAGCGCGTGCTAGTGCTGAATGTCGACTCTTTTGTTGGGAGGGAGGTGTGCCGTTGTTTTTTTGACGCCAAAGAGTACCTGGTTGATGGCACGCTGTACCATTTCCAATCCACTCGAGAGAATCCGGAGGCGAAGGAGTCTCTCAGAACCGATGGATTGGACTCTGCAGGCAAGATGAAGCCTCATTGTGCAACCGCCTCTACGAGTTCGGTGCGGCTAGACGTCCCACCAGACATGCGGCCATTTCTCAACTCGGTGATGCCGCGACATGGCGATATTAGTGATGAGCAGTTTCGCGTCCGGGTGCTGACGTACGACATTATTATCGCCATCCTTGAAGAGGACGCGTTCGAGGCGGACTGCGCTATCAAAGTGCTTCGTGGGACACACTACGAGGTGGAAAAGACTTTTGTGCTTGTGTCCAATGTATTTACATGGACACAGACCGATGCACACGAGCGTGAGTTACGACGTGCCGCTCGCCGTGCAGAACGGGAGGCGGCTCGCGCCCAACGTTACGAGGATGATGTAATCGAGGAGGAAGAGGAGGAAGAAGAGGAGGAAGAGGAAGAAATGGAACAAAAGGTATGGACGGAGGAGGATTACCGTCAGCGCTACCCCGATCTCCGTTACCATCTCTGGAAGGACCTTGAGCATGCGGTGAAGCATGCAAACTCGGAGACATTACACACATATGTGCTGTGGGCCGGATTGCCGTACGGTCGTGGCGAAGACCTTCTTGTGTCCCATTTTAACGCAGCGTGGAGACATCAGGAGATGCTTCAGTATGGGGATGGATCAAACTACATCCCCACCATACATGTAAAAGATCTTGCGCGGATCATCTACCTTGTCGGCTCCTCGTACGATACACTTGAAGATCGTTACATGTTTGCCGTGGATCAGGGCAACAACACACAGAGCGATATTTTGCAGGGCATAAAGGACTTTATTGGTGGCGTGGTGTCGGTTACGGCGCCGGAAATTGACCGTAAGAATCAGGTTGTGATACCAGGTAATCAAAAAAAAGGCGGAAGAGAGGCGGATGTGAAAGAAAATGAATTAGCAGAAGAGATCCAGCATGAGCATGACGTCCTGGTGGGGCTGGGGATGCGGGAGGCACAAGTTTTGGATGAAGAAAAAGAGGAAATGTTAAGAATTAAGGAAATTTCGCAGCGAGAGAAACTGCTGCGGCTGGGTTTGGGGGTACAAGAAATTGAAAACGATGATGACACAAACCACGCGCTAAGGCCGGAAGCGGCCTCTAAAGTAGGGGCGAGTCTCACGATCGCTCCACCGCATGGCCTGGCAAACTGGTTCAGTGCGGTTGACATGCGCTGTGAGCCCGGTGCCGTACTTGCGCTTCTCGAGGAGGAGGAATGGGTTTCACTTGGGGGGTTCTTTGCGAATGTTGACAAAATTGTGCAGGAGTTCAAGGCCGCACGGCAGTTGCGTCCGATGCGTCTTGTTCTCTCTGGCCCACCTTTGAGCAAAGTAGGGGAAGTCGCCGGCGTACTTGCGGAACTATTTAATATTCCCCACCTGACGTTGGCAAATGTGACGGCGGCTTACGAGGAGCATGTGAGATCTCTGCGAGAGGAGTTAATTGGTATTCTTGTGTTGCGACAGCTGCGGAGACACACGGCACGCGAAGAACGCCGACGCCGCGAGAAAGAAAGGGCCAAAGAGGCGCGAAGAAAAGCCAGGGAGGAGGAAGGAGAGGAAGGAGAGGAGGGAGAGGAGGGAGAGGAAGAGGAGGAGGAGGAAGAGGGAGAAGAAGAGGGAGAAGAAGGGGCAGAAGAAGAGGAAGAAAAGGGAGAAGAAGGAACACCCGCCGCGCAGGATTTGGACCCTGCAGAGCGTATACGCGCCGCCATCACCGAGGCGATGTTGCTGCGTGTACCGGAGGATGAAGAGGAGGAAGAGGAGGACGATTCCCACTACAACGCCGATGATGAGGAGGAGGTGGATGAGAAGGCAGCCGCCATGGCGCAGCAGGTGGACGAGGCTGAACGACGTCGAATTGCGACACTTCGAGAGGAGTATCGCTTCGCCACACAACTGTTATCACTGCGTCTTTTGAATGGGGAGTTCCCGCGGCGACCCAAAAGCGCTGATGAAGAGGAAGAGGGCGAGGAGGAAGAGGAATACGACGAATATGATGATGAGGAGGAATACATGAATAGGAAGAAGAGACGGGAGCAAAAGAAGGATGTCAAAAAAGATGTTACAGAGGAACCCCCGCCGACGATTCGTTACTTTGATGAGGTGATGGCTGTGATGGTTCGCTGGCGGCTGCGGCAGGAGGACTGCAAGAATCAGGGATACATCCTGGAGGCATTTCCAGAGACGGTGCGTCAGGCCTGGTTGACGTTTCTAGCCGACACTGAGGAACAAAAGGAGATGCAGCGGCCGAAGTTGCAGAAGGTCCGTGACGAGGAGGCCGTACCACAGCCGCTGCTTGATGCAAATTTCCCATTGCCTGTTCTTGCAGATCTTGAGGAGGATCGGAAACAAGAGATAATGGAATTGATGACGGGGCGGAGATTTGCGTCCGCTGAGGAAGTTCTTGTTCCCACACATGATACCTTTTTCCCAGATTGCTTTATTGCTCTGACAGGCAATGAGGTTACCCTTCGGTCACAAATATATGCTGCAATTGCCACTGCGACTCCTGGTGATACGACGCCGGATTTTTCCGAGCAGTTCACGCGTTATATGACACATAACCGTCCTGGTGCCCCACCGACGGAATCGCTTATTTGCTGGTTTCAAACCGTGGTGGCAGAGAGGGTGGATGAAGATGGAGATGTTGCTGTGGCTACGGAAGGAGGTGAATTGAGAGAAAAGGTGCCCCGAAAGGCATGCGTTCTATTCGTACCGGTATTTTCTACCTTTCCTCAAGCCGTGTTGCCAAAGTTTTTTAACCATGAGGAGATCTCTGGCATGAGAGCCTACTGCACCTTTATCCGGTCTGAGATTCTTAAAAACATTGGTCTTGACAGCTGTGGCTCTGTGATAGATTCCATGCGGGCAGAGGCGGAGGCGAACAAAAGTCGGGTACAGGAGCTCGCGTCGGAGAGGGAAAAATTAGAAAAATTGAGTGCCTCGGATAAATTATTTGCCGCGGCCGCACAAAAATTGGAGGACGACTTTTTGGAGAATGAGCGGCGTGCGTTGCGATTTTACCAGGCAAAGGAGGAGTTGGCGTCCATTGTTGGCATTGACTCTATTCCGGTGGATGTGTACTTGATGCGATATGTGATGCCTAGTCTGACGCCGCTGATGGCGGAGGTTGTGCGGATGCGCCCTGAGGACCCTGTGACTGTGTTGGCGGATGCCCTTTTCCACCACAAGCGGCAAGTGAGTCTCTGAGATGGACATTTCTGTTATTTATTTATTTATTATTTTTGACTCTGTGGTAAGAATTTCCGTGCGGGCGGCAACGACTTGTGTCAACGGAGGCAAATGATGTAATTACATCCCGGGCGAGGGTGCGCGATGTACAGAAATGAAGGAAAAAAAAAGAAAAGAAAAAAGAATGGAGCTGTGAAAATGGGAGGGTGCGAGAGTGAAGAGCGCGCACAACACACATAAACAAGCAAACAAACAAACAAAAAACCTTTTGCCCAGCCGGATTTTTTTCTTTGTTGTTGTATTTTCTTCCATATCCCTTTTTTTATTATTATTCTTGATTGCGTGCTTTATGGAGGAGGAGATAGGGAGGAAGAAAGGAGGGAAAACGGGAAGGGAGAGGCCGCGGAGTGTCAGCGCTAGAATCAGCAGCATTGGGCCGTTAGGGAAAGAGGAAGAGTAAGAGGAAGGGGGACGAACAAACAGGAGACAAATGGCGGAACACTTTCGGAATCGCATCAAGGAGTTAAGGTCGCGGAAGGTGGCGACAGAAGATGCGGCCACCGGCTCAAAAACGACAGTGGCGTCCGCGGCGACGGCGGTGTCGTCGGTGACATCTCCGCTTCTGTCATCGGCGGTATCAAGCAAAACAGTTTCTTCGGTCCCGGTGGCAAATTTACCGCCACCTTTTGTGTCGCCACATGGGGCGGTGGTGAACTACAGGGACACTGTGAGGGACCCACTGTGCGCGCGCTTCACGACGGGGCACGCGTTAAGTCTTTTTTGGGTTACTTTGCAGGCACTTGGGGACAAGGCACGACGGAAGCGGGCTCGTTCTCCTGACAATGAGGAGCCTGCAGAAGAGCCTCAACAACACTGTGGCTTCCAGAAGCACCAACCGCAGCAGCAGCATGCATCAAGGGAGGGAGAGGGAGGCGGTGAAGAGCAGGCATCACCGCGCCAAATTGACCCGGAACAACCTATGGTGAGAGAGGGTTGCGACAATGAGAAGAAGGTAGTAACTAATCCCCCTTTTGATACTTCTTTTTCCAATGTGGTTTCTTACTTCTTGCCTGAGATAGATGGAAGGTGTTTCAGTAACAATGATGAGTTGGAGGAAACAAATGGGCTTGTCAAAGGACAAGCACAATTAGAGCACTCAAAGGCGAGTATTGGAGCTGGCATTGGCGTCGGCTCACGTGATGACAAAAAAAGGTGTATTTTGGTCACGGGAAAGCAGTGCTTACCCTGCCGCTCGGTAAACGAATACATCCCAAAGGCCCGTATTGCGCAAGGGGTGTATGGTGTGGTAATCAGCGCCATTAGGGCTGCATCTGAGGTTCCTCACCACGACCAGGAGGTGAAACGGATGGTAAAGAAGTACGCTCTCAAGCAGGTGAAGGAACAGTGGCTTGTCGACTCACAAGTCGGATTTCCACCGTATCTCCTGAGAGAGTTTGATCTTCTTCTTCGCATGCGCCATCCAAACATTGTGAGGGCCCGGGAGGTGGTGATTCTCGATAAGCGGCTTGGTGGGACAGGACACTCGCGTGGGGATGCGGGTGGTGATGGTGTGGGGGCGGAAAACAACATCAAGAGATCCCATCCGGATGTTGCCGGAGAGTTTCTCCAAGGTGTGAAGGGGGTGGCGCCGAACGGTAACGTTGCCACCCAAAATCAAGAGAAGTCAGGCGCGGATGGGGTGTTAAGGGGAGAGCGAAGTAGAAGTCATGTAAAGGATGTGTATTTGGTTATGGACTATTGTCCTTATGATCTCAAGTCTTTTCTTTCTCTTCACAATGAAAAGGGGGTTTATATGCATTTAAGCTCCTACAATACACATCCTGATGCGCCAAACAATTTTTTATCTCGAGTGAAATGTATTATGCAACAACTGTTTCGAGCATTAAACTTTCTCCATGATCATCGTATTTTGCACAGAGACATCAAAACCTCTAATATTCTCATTAGCCATGAAGGGGTTGTGAAGCTTTGTGACTTTGGGTTGGGACGCCTTTATCGTGAGGGGGAGGAGCTCACTGCGAACGTCGTCACGCTCATGTATCGTGCACCGGAGTTACACTTTGGTGTTCGGGACTACTCCCACAAGATGGATGTATGGTCACTGGGGTGCATCATGGCAGAGTTGTTCCTCAAGATGCCGCTGTTTCGAGCCGAGGAGGAGGTGAAGCATTTTGCCGCCATCTGCGACATCATCGGCATACCGACGGAGGAGACATTCAGCGGGCTGTACAAGATGCCAGAGCTCCTGCGCATCATGCGGTCCCTCACCAAGTATAACCGTGAGAACAATCTTTCTCGCGTATTTGCGAAGTCGCACCACGCCGGTGCGTCGACTCTGCCTGCGAGTGGACTGGACTTGCTGCAGTGCATCTTTCGCTGGAATCCTCTGGACCGTCTCTCGGCCCGTGATGCCCTCAACCACGTGTTCTTCCACGAGGCACCGCTGCCATGTGAGCCAGCGGAGCTTTTGCGCCCGATACCAACCTCAAACGTGCAAAGCAGGCGGTATGACGGTAAGGCAACGGCGAAAAGAAACGAAACTGACGGTGTGGGGGGCACACCTCCGCCGAAGCCGCGGCCTGTCCGAACGGACGCAGTGCTTCGGGCTGAGGAAAAACTCACATCACCGAGAATGGGGGGCATGAAAGCTGTCGAGCCGGAACGGACCTGCACCACGACGGGCACGGGTGAAATGAAGATGACGGTGACAGATGCGATTTCGTCCCCGTCGGAGGATGACGCTGAGCATGTGCTTCTGCGGGAGCTAGAGTCCCTCAACGATATCCCAAGCCCTGGGGACGAGGATGAGGCCCAACGCGTGGCGAACCAAGCACGTCTGAGGGCAAATCAGGACCGGGATTGTGCGTCATCACCGGGGTTTTGATGCATCTGTGCATTCTGGAGAGTATTTGAGAATGAGGGAGGAAAAGACAACAACAAGAAAAAAAAAAATGAAAGAAAGAAAGAAAAGAGAAGAAGAGAGAAAGAGAGAGAAAGAAAGAAAATCAAAAAAACGAATACAACTACCACCACCAAGGAAAAAAAAAAAAAAAAGGACATCGCTACGACTCTAGTAACGTGTTCTTACTGTTGCTTTTTTTTTAGTTGCATTTACTTCTGTTGTATCTTTTTCTCTCTTTTTCTCTCACTTTTTCTATTGTGTCTGTGTATTATTGTCCACCATTCTTTTTATTCGACTCCCTTTTGCAATCTTTTTCTCTTTTTCCCTCTCCTTTTGTCTGTTTCCGTGCGGTGGGGGAGAGGTCCGGCCTTGTTATCTTTCCCTGCACCGTAGAAAGAAGAAGGAGAAAAACAACATCAACAAAATAGAAACACACACACATAAGTGCCGGGCGGTGAAGGGGCGAAAGGGACGTTGCGTTCTGTTGCCATCACCGTTCTGCGGCTTGGACCACCGCGGCAGGCGGAGGCATTGAAGGAGGAAACAAGAAAGCAAACACAAAAAACATGATATTTGGCTCAGAGCCTCCGCTGTATTTGAAGCCTGTTGGCCGGCGCGGGCTGCGGCGGCACGAGGCGGACGTCCTGCAGCACTACCCAGGCTACAGCCACCCGGTTGTGCAGCTCCGTGGGAGTGAGGGATACATCGACGATAGCCACCGCCTGCACCCGCGCCTCACAGCAGCAGAGGAATTGCGCCACGAGCGAGAATTGGGGGCTGAGCGTCGGCAACGCGTTGTTGAGGTGCGCCGAAGACGCCATTGCGAGCGCGAAGCCAATTTGGCGCAGCGGAGAGAGGACGAGTTTCAGAGGGAGCAGCGTCATAAGGCGCAGTTAGCCGGCTTGTGCATTCGAAATGAGCCCGGTGACGGACGTGATACAATTACGCAACAGTATAGGACAGAGGATGCACGCCGCCACTACGAGTACAAGCATGAATTAGAAAAGCATCGTTACTTTGCACGGCAACAACGCCTACGCGAAAAGACTCATCCTCATGGATACAACATTTTAACAGGTGAAGCGTTGCCCTCGACGGTGGTGCCACCTAAGCCATCAATACCATCTGATACTCAATTATTCGCTGTGCAACATGGGGATTAAGAGGGATGTATACGGAAATATATATAACTGTACTGACAGGGAAAGGATGCCACCCTTTGTGGTGTGGTGTGAGTGTGAGATGGGCCTTCTACATCTTTTTTCTTTTTTCCTTTTTATTGTACTATTTCGCGATGCAAACCAAAGAAAATAATAATAATAATAAGAATGAAAAAACTTTTTAAAAAGTTTTTCCATTGAAATGATGATGAGTTTGTTCTTGTAGTGTGCCGTCGTTGAGGGGAATCATCCCCGTTGGATTCCCCATTTAGCCTTGAATACTTCTCTCTTTTGTTTGTATTCCGTCTTGTTTTGGTGTTTTTGCGTGTGTTTGTACGTATGTGCACGGCGATCAGCAATGCTTTCTGTCTCTGTGCAACCCTACTTGTTTTTCTCTATCCACATTCTCTCTCCCCGCTTTATGCTACCTTTTTTTTTTTTTTCCTTTTAGTGTTGCAAGCACTCCCAAAGTGTTCAGTCATTTGAGGGTTGTTTTGCTGCAGGTGTGTACAAACTTCCGTGCGGACTGTGGCTGAGTAGCAACTGCCCCACCCGTCGTTAGTTTTGGTGGTTTTTTGTATTGTGCCCCCCGCGTTGTCATTCCGGTATGCCGGGGGGTGGTGGCGGCGAACGGAGGCAGGAGGAAGAGCAGGGGGGCAACCTGTCTCCGCAAGAATCCACGAAGGTCGCTGCCGAGAAGGACGTTGTCGCCCCACGGAGTGTTCCGGAGGCTGAGGTCGCACGGCTGCTGCAGGAGTATGATGGGACGCCCCTGACGGGGCCGGATGTGCGCAAAATGAGTGAATGGTCGCAGTCGCGCAGCACAAGCGTCCCCGCAAGATTCTCTACTCTCACGACAAATTCAGTAGGAGCAGGTCACGTGGACAGTGAGGCTCGCTTGCGCATGAAGTGGGGCACCATTCAGAAGGACTGCCCGTTTTGTCTACGGAGCCCGACCCTACAGCTGGGGAGTCCCAGTGTAAAAAATAGAACGGAATCTTCCACGAACTCCTTTACACGTTTGGGCACCCCAACGTCACTGAGGGCCAGCGCGGCAGCTTTCTTATTTACGCTGAATGCACAGGAGAGTCTGCGAAAGTCACCGCCTCTGGAAGTGATTGCCTTCTCACCAACAGCTGAGGAAGAAGGGGGAATGGCCGTATTCTCTAGCGCGATTGCCGTAGAGGGCAGAAGTAAAAGCCTGACAGACACTCAAGGGGAGCCTATGCGAATTACTTCTGTAGCAACACAGGCGGCAGAGCCGATCGATTTAAATGCATCAGGCGTTTCTTTTGGTGCATCACGATATGCGCATGCTGTAAATGATTTTGGGGGGCGATATACTCCCCTGCGTGAGAGTGTTGGCACCTCTGTAACAGGGAACTCTGGGCAACGGATGAGCAGGAATCATTCTACTAAGGGAGATGATATCGTGTCGAATAATCCAAACAGTGATCGGTCATTTGCTTTACTGAGTAATAGAAACAATGAAGATGTGGACTCCGCGAAAAAAGAGGTCCGTTATGAATTAATGAGACTTCGGGAACACCCTGACAATGAGGGCAGCCATGAGGATAATAGGATTGATGCTGAAGATGAAAGTGGCCTTTGCTGCAGATGTTGCGGGGTCTTTTCGTGTTTTTCAGGAGGCATGGATTTGAGGACGACATCGTTGTTAGCGTATCGAAATGTTGGCCAGCGGGAGGAGGAGGAGGAGGAGTATACAGGGCGACACTCTGGCCTTCAATGTAAGCCTTGTGGGGCAGTGATTCGTTCATTTAACTTTATGAATGTTTTTGTGGGGAATCTTCCTGTGGCCTCGAAGCTTTTTTGCATTATGAATTATATCGCCAGCACACTTGTGGTACTCGCATTATCTCTTATTTTGATATGCCTGTGGGATAAACCCGTCACTCGCGTAAGTGATGACTCGGCATGCCGTGGGATTATTGTGCCCGGCATTTTCACGCCAGAAATCTCCTTTAGCATTGCCTTTTTTCTTTTCAATGTATTACTGGCAGTCTGCTTTTCTATCCGGGCCGTACGATATGAGAACTCTGGTTTGTTGGTATGTCACTTTATCACCGTGCTGCTTCATTTTTGTCGTACCATTCATTTTGTGTTTTTTACGAGCATCGACAGGCTTTCGGGGCAGGTGTTTCTATACATTCAATTCCTATTTGGTGTGAGTGCCTTCTTATTTTTGGCCTCCTGTGGCACGTACCCATGGGTGCATATGTCGTTTGGATGGCGAACGTTTATGAAGGGTATCACTCGGTCCGTTTTACTGAGACGTCACAGGCGAAAAATGTTTATAGAATCCTTTGTTCAACTTGATATCTTTAGCACGATTAGCAGCGCTTTTACTGTGGTCTACATGTTAGACAGCGATCTGGAGCAAATGATAGGACTGACAGTTGCGGTACTCTCCTGTGCGACGGCCATGCTTTACCTGGTGATGCTTCGACGTCGTTCAATGTGGTTTCTTTCCTTCTTTTCAGTAATATTTGCAGTGTCATTTGTGTTTTATTGTTACGTTATTAGCAGCGCGGTGGAACCTTACTTGTTGCGGGGCGCAGGAGCCCACTTTGAGGTGAGTCAGTGTTACAGTCCAAAACTCTTTTACTGCCTGAAAGATCTTGATGCTGAAATCATATCTAAGAGGGATCTGACGAAATACGTGGAGAATAAAAGTAATGGCAGCAGCGACGGGTGCTCTTCCTTCGTTGTATATCGCAGCGAATACTTCAAAACTCATCCCCGCGAGAATAAGAACTGTCAGTTAACGTGGCAAGACAACTTTAACGATGGTTTTACGCACTGCTGTGAGGTGTATGGCCATTGTCGCCTGAAGGATGCTGTGCGAAGTTACACTGTGGTGCATCTTTTGGTGCTGGCCATTATTTTGTGGACGGTGCGCGTTATTCTCGTTTGGCTGTGGGCCCGCTCCATGAAGGAGGACGAGGAGGATGCCACGAGGATTTGGCAACATCCCAATTCGGATACATTTGTACCTCCTGGGCTGACATTTCCTTCTTTCGCCGTCAATGGACCCGTTTCCACCTGACACCCCGCCAATACCGTTGGGTGTTTCGGGTGGACGGCTGTGAATATCGCGATGATGGAACGATGATGCTACTGGGGAGATATCTAAACTTTTTTTTTTTTTTTTTTGCTTGTGCTCTCTCTCTCTCTCTTTCTCTCTGTGTGTGTATGTGGGATGCTTTTTTGCCTTGAGCCCAATAGGGGCTGGAGGTTAAGGGAGCAAAAAGAAAAGTAGGACGACTTGACACTCAAAAAAAAAAAAAAAAAGAAAACAACTTTTTTGTCTGTTTGTTTCCCTTTTGAATGGTACGTGTATATGTATGTGTATGTGTGTGTGTGTGTGTGTGAAGAACGATTTCACCCCCCTTTTTATTTACCGCATTGCCGTGGCACCCCCATTGATTGGTGTCCAGATGCTGGCATGTTTGTATATATATACATATATATATATACAGCATGTACCGTAAAGAAAATGGGGCCTTTCTTCTTCTCCTTTTTTTTTTTTTGTTGTTGTTGCTGTGCGATGTTGTGCTGTGGGCAAAAACACGCAACGTAGACACACGCTTTCTCTTTTTTTTCTCTTTTTTTGTGTGATTATTGTTGGCTCGTCTCTTTTCTGCCATGTTCACTTGTTAGTTCGATGCGCCGGCGTTCTCCGTCCTCCCTGCCGCGCCGCCTTGCCGACGGGATGACAAGAAGGGCCAACGAAATTTGTGGTGGTGGAGGACTCCCACCAAAAAAAAAAAAAAAAAAAGAAGAAAAAAGAAAAAAAACCGTCTACCGTGACTTTGGTGGACTTGACGATTTGTGTTGTTTGTTGACAGCACCAGCGGGTTTTTTTTTTTTTTGGGGGGGGGGGGG